TGTCGTTATTTACCTGAAGAGTTAAAAAATTTATTAAATCCGGTTTTACAAAGAAATGCTTATTTTGCTCACCCGGAAAATATTCTGTTATCGATGTTGGCTGATGAACAAAAGCACATAAGGGAATTAGCTTTAAGGCGGATATTAAAATGCAGAGCTAATGATGCCACTCTAAATACTGTTCGAGTCTTCAAAGTTCCAAAGCTAAACTTTGATGCGATCAACTATTACGACATGATCGATTGGCATGCAACCGAGATCACAGAGCCACCCCTTACAAAAGATATCACAACTGAAGCTTTAGAACAGATGATAATGGATATTCCTAATAACATTGAATTTTTGAAGTTGCCTTGCCATACTCAGGCAGTAGAAAGAATGATAAAATTAGTTACAGAAGCGTCACTTTCAGTTTGTGGAGAAAAAGCAAGAGATGGCTTTATTCGTACTAAACTTGCATCTCAAAATGATATACCAAAATTTGAAACTAAAAAACACTTCATTATTTAAGTCTTTGATGTGAACTAGTAAACACTAATGTTTTGTTTTTCAAGATTTAAATGATTTATTTGAGTTAATAACATGTTTAATTTGATGATATTGTTTTGTTTACTTTTGAAATGCAATTCATAAACAGTCTCCAGCCGAGAGGAACCTCAAAACAATGTTCAATAAAATTCAAAATTTACACATTGAAATAACTCGATAAAAGACATATTTCCCAACCCCAGGAAAAGTAAAAAGAAGAAAAAAATTTTTTTATGTATAAATTCGCTCCACCCTAATGCTGGTGCCGACATCAGGTAACCATTTGATTGGTTCACCAAAGACATTAAGTCGTGCAAGTCCGCCAGATATTTTAAAAGTGAAATCAAAATAACACGTTTGACAGTTATATATATATATATACATATATATATATAGTTATATATATATATATATATAGTTATATATATATAGTTATATATGATGGTAAAAGACCATAATTAATGCAGTAATTTATGAAATAAACAGAATTTCTAGCGTTGGATAGTTTTATATATCGAGAATATAATTAAAAATAAATTACAACAAATCAGCAGCCCACTGACGTAATTTTTTTAATTATAGGAATCATATGAGCACCAACTACAAAACAGACGAATCCGTCTTAAAACAAATCATTTATAAAAATATCAAACCAACTAACCTTTCTGACAAAGTAAAACTACGAATTTATTATAAGAATACAAAGACATCAAACCTTATCATGAACAACAACTGCGCTACTCAGTATGGTTCGGCATTAAAACGTAGCCATATGATATATGAATTTACATGTCCCCTTGACGGCTGTGCACGTCAGAATGTTTCATACATCAGAGTAACTACAACATCGCTAACTATACGTCTGACCATGCACAAAAGGGAAGGTTCTATAAAAACACTTTTAGAACACACACACAATATTGAAATTACAAGAGAAATCCTGGACAACAGCACCAAAATAATATACTGTAATTCCAGCCATTCTCATCTGAAATTAGCAGAAGCTATTCTCATCAACATAAAACAACCCCTGATAAACAAACAACAAATGATTTCAACAATACACCCAACAAGAAGTAAAATAATAAAATATAATAACAACAATAATGGTACCGACGAAGACACTGAAGAAAGCAACATAGACCAAAGACAAAACTACAACACCGAAGCAAACAAAAACATAGTACCAAAGTAATTAGCCCGAACAAAGAAATCATATCAATTAATAAAGAAGATAGTTTAATTAACAAAGTCAATAATAACAATAAATGCAAATCACAGGAACAAAGTCCTGGGTTATACAAATTCCCTATATAAATTCCCTACTACCAATGATTCAGAACTCCATTTCTGAACGATGGACAAAGATGGTCGTTTCGCACAGACATCCTATAGCAACAGCTGCAACATTTCCCAATGGTCGTTACTAGTTAATACAGAGCAAATACCATATCAAGGAGTACAATATGAATACTCCATAGCTGCCAACCGTCCAGAATTGGGCGGGACAGACCCCAATTTTTCTCTCAAAGTCGCGTGTTTGTCCCGAAACGAAAACATACAAAGCGACAATTTCTTTGAAGTTTCTAACACAATTATATCAATAAAGCCATATTTTTTACATTCATTATGATTTTAGTGATGGTTGTGATTCTAACAAAACATCAAATAAAAAACTTTTGTATGCCGACATTTTCAATTAGTTTAATTTCGATGACACCAAAGTCTGAAACAATCCTGATTGGAGGCGATTTCAATAGCCACGTTGGAGAGAAAACAGATGGTTTTGACAACGTACATGGCGGTTTTGGCTATGGAGAACGGATTGAAGATGGCAACCGCATCCTTGAGTTTGCGGAAAGTCACGGGTTTTGTTTACTGAACACATATTTTAGAAAGAGGTTGGAACATCTCATAACATACAAAAGTGGACCATCAGCCACGCAAATTGATTTCTTCGCTGTCAAGCAACAACACTGAAGGTATTCAAAAACGTCAAAGTTATACCTGGCGAATCATGTGTCGCCCAACATAGACTCCTTGTGGCAGACCTGGTTGTCGAACTGTCACAACATAAGTCTAAACAAATGCCTCGAAGAATCAAAACGTGGATGCTGAAAAGCAATATTCATCGAGAAAAATTTCAACAGATTGTCGCCACACAGTTAGACCACCAATCGCAAGCCAGTACAGATTGGAGTACATACAAAACCGTTTTGATAAACGCTGCAACTACGGTTTGTGGGAAAACTGGTACAAAACGTCAGCATGAACGGGACACTTGGTGGTGGAATGACAGTGTACAAAATACAATGGCTGAAAAAAAAGCTGCATACAAGCAATAGCAAAAATCAAAGTCTGTTGATAACAATAAAATTTTCCGTGAGAAAAACAACTATGCAAGACGTCAAGTCACACTGGCTCGGACAGATCAGTGCAGAGAGTGGCTCACTAAAAGCAAAGGTGAACAAATGAAATCTCTGTATCGTATAGCAAAACAAGCAAAGCGTACGAAAAATGACATAGTTAGTGCCTCATGTATCAAAAAACGACAAAAATGAGATGGTTCTTGAACAAGATGAGATCAAGCTACAGTGGAGAGAATGCTTCAACCGTCTGTTAAATGAAACAAATCCCATCAATGTCAACTTTGACGCTCCACCCATCGAAGGTCCGATTCCAGATATCACTGTAGAGGAACTGGGTCTCTGGACGCTAAACAAAGATTGATTGATTAATTTCAATGATGATTATGTTTTTTGCAATACTATCAATCAATCAATCTTCGTTTTGTGTCCAGAGACCCGGTTCCCCGAGGTAGGACGTATGTTTTTAACAAAACAACAAAGAAAAATGCCAACAGATTATATATATATATGTATGTACGCTTTTGAAAAATCAAATGTTTGCAAGTATGATATCCCATGAACAAAACAACATAAGTTAAATAAAAATACCTTCCCGAACAACGCACTCCACCACTTCTTCATGTTCAGCACGAGAAACATGTTGTGGACAGATGGATGGATGCTGCTGAACGTTCGCGAGAAACTGCGATTGAATGGCGAGTGCTCGTCAGCCTCAATGTTCCATTTTATAATTTCTATCCGTGCCACTTGCTTACAAAAACATACACACGATATATATATATATATATATATATATATATATATATATATATATGTATATAATGTGTATAAATGTGCCTGTGTATTTGTAGAGGTAAACAAAGTATACAAAGCGAACTGAATGCTTTGTTTTCTGAACCTGTTCACCAACAACCAATTACTCATTAACATATTCAGCGACGTGTGTATTTGCATGTGTTCATAAATCTGTTTATACCGAATATATATATATATATATATATATATATATATATATATATATATATATATATAATAATAATATATATATACATATATATATAATGTGTATAAATGTGCCTGTATATATATATATATATATATATATATATATATATATATATATTTTGGAACGATGTTTTCAGCGATTCAAACTTCATTAAATATTATGTATATATATATATATATATATATATATATATAATATACACATACTATATATATATATATATATAATTATACACATACTACATAACGCGCACACGCGTTTCACCAAACCTATGCAATGCCCTCGCTCATAAATATTCATTAGCAGCAGCAAAATAAATGTCATGTGATCAAGCAGCAGAGCAAATATTTGCTGAAGAATGGTCCATCTCTTAGTTATCACCAGATGACCAAGTCTCATTATTTACTTAGGTTCAACAATAATTTGTTAATTAATCAATTATTAATTAATTAATATTTTTTGAAAATCAAACTCCAATTTGTGAACAATTGACGATAAAAGAGTTGAACTGAATGCTACAAGTGAACGAAATATGAACGAAACAAATTACCAACAACATTCATTGAGAAGAAGACTTCGTGCGAGCAAAACATTTTGAAACTTCTCTTCAATTTCAAAGTTTACGATGCAGCTATCCAGATTCCAAATTATATTTGCAAGCAATTCGAAGAGTCAATATTTGTTATTATTCCAATTTTTTATAAGATTCAAAAAAAGTTATTTTTCATTCAAAAGTCATTAACTTGAAAACGGCTTTTGCCTTTATATATTTTACTTCATTCCCTAATTATCTTCCATTCGTCATAACCCAACAGAAAACATAATTTGCATTACTTACACACACAAAATGCTATTTTTAATTAATGTAAATATAATGTTATTTGAAAATAGACGTTAAATTAGTTGCCTGTATGTGAGATTCAGCAGGTTGGCTGACGTTTAAAAACTGAGAAACGTGTAAACGAATAAACTTTACACTGCATCGTGCGAATAGA